GAATATGATATTCAGCAGTGCTTATAAGATGATGATTGAAATGCCCTTGAACCGTTTAAAAAATAATAATTTGAAAGCATCTTTATATGAAAAGACGAATGACGGAAATAGAATGTAGAGAGAGTTAGGAGTTCTGCTTTAGAAAAAGTACTTCAGGACTTCAAAAAATATTATAGGAATAACATAGAAAAAAACTAAGTCAAATCAAAAGTTTTTGTAACCTAAAATATCATATGATTTTGACTTATATATACATTTTTTATATATAAGCCAAAAGAGGATTTGTAAGATGATCAGACGTAAAATTAATGCATACCATATCTGGAGGGATGATTCATCCTCAGTTTCAAACTACGGTTGAAGTCGTAAAGTGAGTAGGTGAATCCTTCTAATCGTTTGTGCATTCCTAAGAGAAGATTGTTAAGCTCGAGATTATGTAATTTCGCCAATTTTGAAGCTTCTTGTAAACACCCATTTTTGGTAGGAGGATTAAGCATTCTTAGGGCAGGTAAACATCCCAACTCACCCAAATTCAGAAACCCGAATTTTCTGCCTCCCTTCTTGTACATCTCCTGCGTGAATGATAAATATTAGTAATTGCTAATCTCGTAAAAATAATTACTCCACTACTTTCGTTGTTTCAATTTCCGTGGCCTATTTCCTTTTTAGTCTGTCTCATAAAGAATGACCCCTTTCTATATTTGAAATAATTTATCTTTATGTAGTGATTTATAAGCACACAAAATATTTATACCTTATTTACACCACAAGTTCAAAAGTCTATTTTTTTCTTCTTAAAATCCATGTCTGGTTAAATAGGCAGGTGAAATTAAATTGATAACAGAAAAGGGCCAAATATACCCCAATACTATCATAAAAGGTTTAAATGTAGCGATCGTTATACCTTGAGTCCAAATACACCCCTTCGTTATACTATTGGTTCAAATATACTCTTTTTTTGTTAAGTTTTTCCAAAGTGGACATACAATCCAACGTGACACTGATATTTGACGAGGTTGAATCCGCGTGGCTTGCCACCTCATCAGATATCAGTACCATGCGGGATTGGATGTCCACCTTGAACAAACTTAACAGAAGAGGGATATATTTAAACCAATAGTATTACGGCAGAAGTATATTTGGACTTAAAGTATAACGGAGAGTATATTTAAATATTTTTCTCGAAGTATATTTTGCCGAATTGATAATGTAAAAGATATTTAAATTGTCAATATAAAAGATAATGTAAGTGAAGTCATGGGTGCAGGTTGTATGCTTACTTGTACCACTGTAGTCAAGTTGCCAATGACCATTTGTACGTATTGGGAAGGAGAATAGGCAGATAGGACTGTGGAATTGGTCAAAAAGGGACTTAAGTAGTCATTGGTCCCAATGCCAATCAAGTAAACAGCACTTCTCAATATTTTGTCCGATTTTGAATACCCCAACTTGTTTCTTAACGAAGTTTTGAGCTTCTTGAAGTTGTTCAACTGGGTCTTCAAATCAATCACCTGAAGAATGAAGAATCTGAGAATGCCGACATACAACAAAAAACAAAATACGACTGTAGCAGTAAGCATTCTTGGTGTGCAGGGACCAGAGATACAACTTTCCATGTCGTGTGGATGTGCCGAAAGTCCAAGATTGCAGTTTTTTCATTTTTGGGCCTGGCTTGTGGCATGTGGCCTGGCTGTAGGGGGAGCTTGACATATTTAGTGGCCTAAAAGCCAAATATTAATATGAGACCATTTTTTATATTTGTTTTTTTATCTTAATTCAATATTTTTTTAAAGGAAAAAAATTAATTCAAATAGCCGCCACCTAATATCTTAAACTAAAAATAATTGATGAATATATATATATATATAAAATTGTGTATAGTCAATGTCTAATCTATGTATATCAGCAGTGGCGAAGTTGAGAATATTTCCAAGGGTGTTCAAACTTAAAATAAGTACAAAATTTTCGACAAAGGGTGTTCAATATATATTATATATCTCTAAAACATAATCTTTTAGCTATATATGTAGTGTAATTTTTAGACGAAGGGTGGTCAATTGAGCACTCTTACTAGAGTGTAGCTTCGCCTATGTATATCGTCTAAAAAAAAGTAAATATTGAGGCCCCCAACACTTGCCTTGTGCATTAGAACCGTCACTCTTACAGAGTTTCAAATTTTATAGATAAATATTTTACAACAATATTCAGAGTTTTAACTATGAAATTTGAAATTCTAGATTTTTTTCATTTTTCAACAGCTGAAAAATGACTATTTATGAATTATACCCTGGAAAGTGGAAAGAGGTATCAATGGTCTGTGCTGATTGTCAAAGGACCCGTACTTTAACGTGAAACCAATCCAACTTGAAGTAGCTAATGGCCCATAACGGCTTCGAGAAATGCGAGATTTTAGTTTCACCGCACTACTTATAGCACCTTTGACTCATACAGGTATAACATATTTTTCATTTTCATATATTTTAACAGAAGCAGCCACTTGAATGAAAGGGATAAATAGAAGAATATGATCCAACGCATTAATAGAATTTGCACCAATTGCAAGCAAAGAAAGTTTATCTATATTACTTGTGAAAAAATTTACTTTATAAGTGAAGCTCATAAGAAAATGTAAAAGATGCTTGACTGTAAATTATATACTATAGTCTCAATATTGGGGACCAGTTTTTTTTTCATTCCTTGCTCCTACATTATTATCTTATCGTGTATATGGACAAGCTTAAAGTCTGACAGTTGTCTGTCAATAATGCATGCAACTGGTTAGTGATAATTCAATAACATGCAAAACATGAAGTTTTTATTTTCAACGCAATTGACTGTAAGTTAATTATTTTCTTTAAAGCTAAAAGGCCTTTTGCTTTTTGTGGTTAGATAAAGTATTTCATTTAGACGACCTTAATGTTATTACCTAACTAGCTAGCTAGCTCGCTAAATTCTTTCGCGTAGTCATGAAAGCTAGCATCTTTTTCCTTCCTCCTTCTACACTTTCTTATGAGCTTCAATTCTATATTCAGATAACACTACTAAAATAAAGGGGAAAAACTGTAAAAACCGACCGATGTTGGTCGGTAATTGACAATAATCGAGATGTCGATCGGTATTTTTCGATCTATTTTGGCCGGTCAATTAAATTCCACAAACGACCAAAAAAAATTTGCCGAAAAAGTTGACTGAAGTCAGTCGGTATTTTTAATTATGTAATTAAAAAATGTGGTCGGTTTTATTAAAAAAATAAAATTACCAACTGAAATCGTTTTTTAAATATGACCGACCGAAATCGGTTGGTTTTTTGAATATTAATTTTGATTATTTTAAATGAAAAATCGACCAAAGTTGATCGGTTTCTTGAAAAATATTTTTCGCGGATGCAAAAATAGTTTCTCACATTTTTGCCCCAAAAAAACTGACCGAAATTGGTTGATTTCGTAAAAACAAAATTAAAAATAAAATATTTTAAAAAACCGACCGACTTCAATTGTTTTTTCGGCCGGTTTCTGCACCGAGCGAAGTTGTTCGGTCGGCGGCGGTCGGTTTTGGCCTTAATATATACAAATCATCTAAATGATAATTATATATAATTACCTTTAAAAATGAAATTAATAATATGAGTAATAAGATAGTACTAATTTTTATCAGTTAAAAGAACGTACTGCTCCCTCGAAAGTCTCGACAAGAGACCCAGCTCCAGCCGATGCAAAGTTTGCTCCATTGCTATAATCCTGTTTATTCCCAGGCTGCAGAAAGGGTGGCGGCACTGGAACATTTGCATGTTCAGCTGTCACAAATTAAAATGAAAAAGTTTTTTTGCCAATTATATTCAAGCAAGTAAATCAATAATAAAAAGGAAGAAACAAAATATATATGGGGATTAAAATAAGAATATGAATGGATAGCTCAAACTGATACAAGTGTCAATCCAATATTGGACAGACAATAGATGAATTAGGAACAATTGCATGCGTACCAATAAAATCTGAAATCAAACGGCCGTCAGAAAATCTTCCGGTAGGGGACTTGAAGTAAGATTGTCCATAGGGCCAGAAATTGGCTTGGTCAAGAGTGGAAGTATTGATGTAATTGTTGTTTCCTACATCAAAGTAAGAGTCCCCAAAGATGAAGAAAGCCGTTCCTCTTTCTGGTTCACTGATATGGAGACTGTGATGTGTTGCACCCATTCGGCCCAGATATAAAACCACCATCATGATTATGCTACTGAAATAGCTGCTTATTGCACCCATAGGATTTGCCATGGTTTTTTGCAATTTCGATGAAAATGAAGACGTATCTTGCTAAGCAAAGATAAATGAGAATGAATAGCTAAAACCTCTTTATTTATAGGCTATAGCTAGGTGAGTGTCTATGATTACCTAAGCATGCCACTGTTTGATTAAACTCCCCCAGCACCAAAGCTTCCAATTTCGTGCATGTTGACTTTAAGTCTTGTACACACAATAACTGAGAAATTGTTGTTGCAGAAAATTAAAGTGACCTCCACGCAAAAGAAAAGAAAAAAAGAGACTTTGAATATAGTTTTTATTCATAAATAATGAAACCATTGCATGCTTATAACGTTACCTATGGGTCGCTGGTCTTATCCTTCATTTTTTAGGAAATGATTCATTCACGTTCTAATTATTTAAATGCCACTTGTTTCATTATCCTACCTTCCTAATTGACTTTATATATTAATTAGGAGGTTTTTCAACTACGAGAAGAAAAGCTGTAAACACGTTTTAATAAAAATGAAAAAGTAATAGTATGTCCTTACTACATATATCCACAGGTTGATCAACCGTAATTTATTTTCCCTTATGTCTAACCGTTTAAATTGTATTGCACAGGATAAAACCCATTTCATCGGAAAAAGATCCACTCAAATATTATTACCTCAAGTAGTCAAGTAATATTCAATAGCCATGTAAATTCATGCTATGTGGACCATAAAATGATTAATGACTGAGATCCATTCAACTCTTATACTAATATAAAAAGAACTAAAATGGTAAAAGTTGGCCTAACTCCACCGTTAAGAATTAACCCAAGTTTCTCACCTTTTTTTTCTTCGTTTAAATATATCAAAAATATATCTCTTACTTTTAGCAAAATAATGCTACAACTGAATTTTACCAAGAAAGGCAATTAAAGATGGCGGGAATCATCTATCTGATTTTTTTAACCCGCCAAAAGAACTTTTTCTCCTTTGGAAATATCATACATATCATTAAAAGATATTTATTCATCTTTTACAAGTATTTCATCTTATTTCTTTTCCTAAGAAACCCAAAAGTTTCATTATTACTATCATCAACAACGTACAAACAATGAATCTCTTGAAATACAAGATTTTATTCTCTACCTTTTCTTATATTATTAGTTATTGTTTGGTCTTGTTATATTTAATTGTATTTTTTATTTTAAGTTTGATTAATTGACATTTGCCTTATCTAATATTATATGTTTTCATTCATATGCCTCATCTAACAAGCTGCAAATACAAGAAAGTTTCATTATGATTATTTAATTTACGATGATGTTAATAAGTTTGTACTTTTTTTTACATTTGAATCATTGTTCTCGTAGTGTTTTAAGTTTGATTTTTTTTGGTATATTTGAGAATTTCGGGAAAAGAATGTGCGAAAATACTCCTGAAGAATTTTTACAAAGTTACTCTCAAGGGCTAGTAGATTATGTACCAAACTTGGCCTTGAGTTTGATAGTGACGAGGATGCTCTTAATTATTATAATGAGCATGCAAGAAGAGTTGGTTTTAGTGTTCACAAAGTATACATCAATACAAATAAAAAATTGGGTTATATAACTATTACGGATATAGATTTAGGTGAAGTAGTTAAGTAGTTGTGATGTATAAGGGTATTTAAGTAAATAGTGGGCTAGTCAGTTTAGGCGGTTAAATACGGTATTAATACATTGTACTGCAGGTTCTCTTCTTCTTTTTAATAGAACATATCTTCTTCTTCCTCTCAAATCTCTCTTCTCTCTGCAACTGAGCTTAGGTCAAGTATGGCAATGGCAATCTTTGACATGGTAATAGAGCCAGCGGAGAAGATCTAGGCACGCCTCTTCATCGCTCAATAGCAGAAGTTGAAGTTCAGTAAGAAGATAAACAAAAACTCAAAATTCTGATTTTCTCTTTTCGATTCAGAAATGGGGGAGAATGGGATCGATCACACCCATCCATTATTTGTGCATCCGTCTGATACTCCAGGTTCAGTGCTAATTCCGATCTAGCTCAAAGGATCTGAGAATTACGGCTTATGGCGGAGATCGATGAAGATTGCACTTCAAGCTAAACGGAAGATAGGGTTTGTTGATGGTAAGCACACTAAAGCTACGTTTCCTGCAGCATTGCATGAGGATTGGGAAACTTGTAATGCCATAGTCCTTTCATGGATTATGAACACTGTATCGCCGGATCTACTCAGTGGGATAGTGTATGCATCAAATGCTCGAGCTGTGTGGGAGGATCATCGTGAGAGATTTGACAAGGTGAATCGCATGAGGATCTATCAGCTGCATAGGGAAATTGCAACAATATCCCAAGGTACCGACTCTGCATCTACATACTTTACAAAATTGAAGGAACTGTGGGGAGAATTTGATGCAATTGTGCCACTCCCAACTCTGTGAAGGACTACGTTGAACTCTTAAGTCAACAAAGGTTGCTTCAGTTTTTAGGAGGTTTAAATGACTCATATAGTCAGGCAAGACGTCAAAGTCTTATGAAATCTATAGAGCCTAGTCTAAATCAAGCATATGCCATGGTCATCGAGGATGAGACTCAAAAAGGGTCGACAGGGCACAACTGTGTAGGTCTCAACTCTGTAGGTCTCAACTCGCTAATGGAGGGAAATGACATCACAACACTTTGGAGTGCTAAATGATCTCAAATGCAAAAACCTAGAAAAAACTTTAATGTAGTGTGTGATTTCTGTAAAATGAAAGGACATAGCAAAAAAAATTGCTACCAATTATTTGGATATCCACCAGATTTTAAGGGCAGAAGAAAGCCAGTGGCTAACTCAGCACATTTTGGTAATTCTGCACAACTAGGGAGTCATGGACAACAACAAGGAATGGGAAATAACTCAAGAAATGCTCACACTAGCTATGAAGTTACACCCTTAGGTTCAAATACTGACTATATTAATGCAGGCTACACAGGATCACCAGGATATTTGCAGGTGCAGAGAAAGATGCAAGGATGAGCATGCAGATACCAATGCCATTCACTGCAGAACAATATGATCAAATCCTGAAGATGCTACAAAAGGACAACTCACAAGAATCAACAGTTAATGCAGCAAATGCAACAGGTATAATTGACTCTCCAAAGCTTGTAAATGCAGTTAGTGTAAGTCATTCGACTGATAGTAAAACAAAGGATGATAATTGGATTGTAGATACAAGTGCAACAGACCACATGGTATGCAATAGTGAAATGATATATAAGCCTAAAGAAAATTCTAAAAGTATAGGAGGAAAGGTTCATTTACCAAATGGAGATAGCTTGGTCATTTCTTGTGTGGGAAGCTCAGAATTAGATCAAGGGATTATATCCAATGTGCTTTGCATACCAGGCTTTAAATACAATTTACTGTCAGTATCAAAATTGACCAGGGAGCTAAATTGGTGCATGCAATTCTTTCCTGATTTTTTGCATCATGCAGGACCTTCACACTGGGAAGGTGAAGGGGACTGGTAGGAGGAATGGAGATCTATACTATTGGCCTCACAGTGATAGAGATAGGATTCAAGCCTCAACAACACTATATGTGAACAATAAAGAAAAGTTATGGCATAGAAGACTTGGGCACATTCCACATAAGGTTCTACAACAAATGCATATAATAAAGTGTCATAGATTACATAGTCATAATGTCTGTGTTATTTTCCCCTTGGCAAAACAGACAAGGTTTCCTTTTCCACAAAGCACTAGTAGAGCTTCTAAAGTTTTTGATTTGATACATAGTGATGTATGGGGTCCCTATAGAACTCCTACATATGATGGGAATAGATTCTTTCTCACTCTGGTAGATGACTATAGTAGAATGGTTTGGATTTTTTTGCTCAAACTTAAAAGTGATGTATCTACTGTAATAAAGGACTTCATGACTCTTGTAAAGATACAGTTTAACAGTGCAATTAAGGTGTTTAGGACAAACAATGTGACAGAATTCTTTAATTCTCATTGTGCAGATATGTTTAGGCATGCATGTGTGGTTCATCAAAGCTCCTGTGTCTACACACCCCAACAGAATGGAGTGGTAGAAAGGAAACACAGGCAGATTCTTGAAGTTGCAAGGGCTATCAGGTTTCAAGGAAGTATTCCACTGTAATTCTGGGGTCTTTGTGTGCAGAATGCAGTGTACTTGATCAATAGGATACCATCCACAGCATTGGCAAGAAAATCACCTTTTGAAATGTTCAATGGTCGACCACCTAAACTACAACATCTCAGAGTTCTGCGCAATCTTTGCTATGCTACTGCCACTGATAGAGGTTACAAGTTTGGAGCTAGGGCAGAACCAGCATTGCATATGGGATATTCATCCACTCAAAGGGTTATAGGTTATATAGCCTTACTAACAAACATTTTTTTGTAAGCAGGAATGTCTCTTTCAAGGAGTACATTTTTCCTTTTCAAACCACAACTTCAACATGCAGGAGGAACACTACTAAGCAGTTCATTGATACAGATGATGTCTTCTCTATTGATTCCACCTTTGAGGTCTCAGAGACTGTTCTTGACTTAGCATCATCATCATCATCTTCTCCTGAGGCATCATCAGCTCCTAGTCATATGATTCCACCTTCAGTAGATCTGGTACAACCTCACATTCCTAACATTCCCTCAGTTTCCCCAGTTCATGCAGCAGTAATAACACATCCAAGTGTGGGTTCATTGCATGCTTTGCCAGAAAAGGGACTAAGAAAGTCTACTAGGACTTCCAAGCCACCTGGATGGCTCAATGACTTTGTTCATGGGATGCCACAAGTTGGACCTTCTACTGCCTTGAGTTCCAGTTATCCAATGTCAGCCTATATGTCCTATGCCTCTTTATCTTCTCCTTACTTCAAGTACCTTTGCTCTTTTACTACTGTTATGGAACCTACTTCCTATACTGATGCCCTTCGAGATCCCAAGTGGATTGCAGCCATGGATGCTGAGCTGCAAGCTCTTCAGAAAAATCACACCTGGGAACTGGTTCCCTTGCCACCTGCCAAGAGATCCATAAGGTGTAAATGGGTATATAAGGTGAAATACAATGCCAAAGGTGATATGGAGAGATATAAAGCTCGCTTAGTGGCCAAGGGATACACTCAATAGGAAGGTCTTGACTATTAAGAGACCTTCTCCCCTGTGGTGAAGATGGTTACAGTAATGACTGTTCTCTCTTTGGCAGCTATGCATGGATGGAAGTTGCATCAGATGGATGTATTCAATGATTTTCTTCAAGGTTACTTGCTAGAAGAAGTGTATATGACTCCTTCTCATG